GCTCAATGTAGGGCTTCACAGCTATCAAGTGGAAAGGCTGAAGTTGGCATTTGAACCCAGGGCAGTGTCCCTTTGGGCTGCAGGAGCTGTGGGGGTGGGTGGAAGAGGGCAGGATGTCTGGGATGAGAACAGCATGGCTTGGTGTGTTGTGGAACCAAGGGGAGGGTGGTGGCTGGCCACAGTAGGTTGGAGAGGGATGTATGGGTGGGTAGGTGCCTTGGTACCCTGAATGAGAAGGTCAGCTCCCTTCCTTTTCAGCTATGGGAGAAATCCCGGGAGGACTTCCATTACCTTGGCTGTGTGAGGTTAAGTGACTTGAATGTGTGAGCTCAGGGAGTGTGAAGTGAGAGTTCTCAGTGGCCAGTTGGAGGCTGAGGCTGGGCAGGCGGGTGGAGGGAGATGGGAGAGAACTTGGCCTTGGGCTGGGTAGGAGGGACAGGTACCTGTTAGGGATCTGGATGTGGATAATCTGTCCCCTGCCCTTGAGTGTGGTTGGGATGCTGACATACTTCCTAGATTTGGGGAGTGTACCAGGGAGAGGATGGCAACCCTCCACTTGGTCGGTGCCCAGATCTTGCTCTTTGTTGCCCAGTGCTCTTTTTTTTTGACAACAGATCTGATGTGTAAGTTTATTAGAAAATACAGTTACAAGACTTTAAAATAATGTAACTAAAATTATCTCCAAAAAGACTTTGCTAAATGCCCAGTGCTCTTACTCGTAAGGCCTAGTGGCCCCTGGCTAATGCCTGTTTAGTGAGGGGTGTGTGTGTGTGCGGGGTGTCGAAGTCAGAGCTACTGCTCACCTGGGAGAGTCTGAACTTACTAGGGAGGGAGGTAGTTACAGTTCACGGTTACAGTTTGCTTCTGCAAAACCCAGAAAGAACTATAAAGAATTTTCAGGCCTTTGCAGAAAAATCCTATCCACTGCAGTGTCACTTGGAAATGCCTATTAACTATTATCCTCCATAAATAGGAACCTAGGGTTGGTCAGCAGTGTGGTTGGCATTCCACCAAACACATTCTTGGTTAGCTCAGACTCCACCAATCAGAAGCCCTGATTAGCATGTAGTCTGTTAAAAACCTCTTATCAGTGCATACTTCCAGGACTGTTTAGATGAAATATAATGAGAGTCTTGATGACAAATTTAAGTTCCTATGAGGAGCTGTAGTTTTGGGGGTGAGTCTCTTCTTAGTTATGTGTAGGTTAAACGCTAGGTTAACCATCAGCTGTTTCCAGAAGGAGAAGTCTAGGCTGATGGGTTTAGAGAGGAAGTGGCAGGATGGAACATCTGGCGGAGCCAGGCTGACAGCTTCTGAGGTAGAGAGGAGCTGACATAGGCTCCTGTCCCTGCCTGGGCTTCTTTTAGGAACTTTGGGGGTGGAAATTTGGAGTCTGGAGCCCTGTGGTGTCTTTTGGGCTTCCCAGTTAGTGGGAACCCTGGGGTCAGCTTCCCAGGGCTGATGAACTGGGGAGACTCGGGCTGGGAGCTGCAGGAGGGTGCATCCAGCTGCACCCCACTCTGCTGGTCCTGCAGCTGTGACCTTGGCTATGTCACATCACTTGTAGGCCTCTTCCCTCATGGTAGTTTGGAGGGGCCCAGCGCAGGGCACCGTTCTTGTAGCCACACCTGCTCTGCAGAGCCGCCCCTTCTATGTAGAGGGCACCGCCCGCTGGCAGGTTGTCTACAACACAGCTCGCTGCTTGGTGTGGGCACATTACAAGGCACATTGCTGCAGCTACTCCACTGGGCTTTTGTGAGAATTGGGGGAGAGGTGTGTGGCTACTAAGATACACCTCTGCTTCCCGGGCCCTATTCTTCAGGGCTACCTGTCACCTGTCCGTCTGTGGGACTGTATAGAACCCGTTTTAATCTGTTGCCGGAGATCTGCTCCAGGTCCTTGCTTATTGCTTGCTATCATTCCTGATCTGTTCCTCAGCCTTTATGTCCTCCTTACTCATAAGAAGGCCACCTTACTCATGGGAAGATTTTGATAAAATTCAGTGAGAAAGTCCTAACATAATGTGTCTTTAGCACATCATACGAAGAATTCAAGACATACATGTGTGTGTGTGGTACTAGGGCTTGATTGAGCCCAAGGCTTTGCTCATGCTAGGCAAGCTTTTTTGCCATAAGTTACTTCCCCGGCACTTGTTTTTTATTTTGAGATGGGACTCTTGGTTGCCCATTCTAGCATCAAAACTGTGATCTTCCTGTCTCAGCCATGGTGCTGAGGGTGTGTATCACCACACTTATCTTCAAGACTTTTTAAAAACACTTATTTCTTTGGTGGCCTGCCTGGCAAGTGCAAAGACCCGAGTTCAATCCCCGGTACCCAAAAAAAAAAAAAAAAAAAAAAAAAAACACAAAAAACCACAAAAAAAAAAAACACCACTTTAAAAAAAAAAAAAAAAAAAAAAAAAAAAAAAAAACCAAAAAACCTCAAAAAAAACAAAAGCACTTATTTCTGCTGGGGCATAGTGGCACACACCTGTAATCCCAGCACTCGGGAGGCTGAGGCTGGAGGATCACTGTGAGTTCAAGCCCAGCCTGGGCTACATAGTAAGTTTCCAGGTCAGTCTCAACTACCTAGTGAGACCCTGTCTCAAAAAAGGAAAAAACAAAAAACAAAAAAAAACCCACAACCAAAAAAAAAAAAACAAAAAAACCCCACTTATTCCTTGTTAGGCCTTCTGGATGGGCTGTCTCTCAGGGTGGCCCAAGAGTGGACTTCCTTTTGAGCCCCAGCCCTGGGTCACCTCAGGTCTTTGGGCATCACCAGGAGAGATGAGGGTACAGGCTGCTCCCAGACAGATTGTAGCCACCGGGTGGCTTCCTGTGATGCCTCTCCCTGTCTCTGTCAGTCTCCAAAGATCTCTGTTGTTAGGCCACCCACTGCAGAGCATTCCCGTTCCCTTGGCCAACTAGCCTCCCTGAGGAGGTGTGGTCTAAGGGCAGGGCCAGGCCCTGAAGACAGACAGTGGCAGCTTCTGCCTAATTGTTCCTTTCCTCTTTTTTTTTTTTTTTTTTGAGCCAGGGTCCCACTATGTAGCCCAGGCTGGTCTCAAACTAAGAGCAATCCTCCTGCCTCAGCCTCCCAAGTGCTGGGATTACAGGGGTGCATCACCATGCCCAGCTAGTCTTTCCTGTTTTTGACACCATATCACACCCACTGTGGGGGCAGGGAAACTGGGAGAAGGAAGGTGTCTGGCCTGAAGTGGGGAAGTTGGATATCCAGCTCTCTGAGTCCAAAACTGTTCTATGCCTACTCTCGAGTCCTGAGTAAAGGGCCACCTCATCTGTGAAGTGTGAGGAGGGATCTGTACCTCCTTCCTAGCACTGACTTTCCCAGCTCCGTGAGGGTCTCACACCCCAGTGGAGAGGGTCAGGGAGGCCCTGGGCCTTTGGACCCTGATGGAAGAGGCTCGATGAGGTGGGGTGAGGGAGTGTGGGGGGTGGGGGGTACAGTGCAAGGCTGTGTTGATTTGCCTCCAGGAGTGACTGGGGGGCTCAGTCCCAGCTGGCTGCTCCATCTGTTGAAGAAGAAAAGCTGAGGCCTAGGAAGGGCCAAGGATATGTCCAGGGTCCCACAGGGAGCTGAGATAGGATGGATGGGTGGGGCGGGTCAGGCCAAGGCTGTTTCCATCTGTTACAGATGTGTCCCCTCCTGGGCTGTTGTGCAGCTCTTTTCCCTGAGGAAAGGGACAGGGCCAAGTCACAGCACAGGACTCAAACCCTGGTGTCTCCTGGATCCTGGACTCTCCATCAATGGGATGAGAGCCCCCAGAGGCCTTTCCCTGTTTCTCTAGACCCAGCGCCTAAGCTCTCTTGGCTCAGTCCTGGAATAGGTCACCCAGGCAGGGCCCCTCAGGAAGAGGCCAGGGCTGTGGCTTTGGGTGGGGCTGGCGGCTCTGCTGGGAGCTCAGCATCTGGAAGCCATCAGGCCAGGGGCGGGGAAGTTGTGGAGGAGGGCTGGGAAGGGGGGCACGCCTCCTCCAGGCCACACACAGGCGCACCCCTTGGGAGCAGTGGCTTCAGGCCTGCAGGGTTTGCTGCTGTCTTGCATCTTGGCCCACAGCCTTGCCCCCTTCCCTGGCTGCTGCGTCTCACTCCACTGCCTGCTGCACCGCCATGTGCAGTCCCACTGCCCACAGCACGCCAGGAGCCTCACTTCCTGGCGCTGGTCTGCCCCTGAGGGCCCAGGGCTCGTTGACCCATTGTCCTCTCTGAGGAGCGAGTGGTATTTGTCTTGTCTTCTGTGAAATCTTAGCCCAGGGGGGCCCAGATGGGAGCTGGGGCTTGTGGCTGGAGGCATGGCTGTGCTGAAAGGCACAGAGGAAGAACGACTTCTCAGTTGGAGGGTGGCAAAGCCTGAGACTCTGGAAGTGGTCTCGGTCACAGCAAGGACTCAGAAGCATCCTAAGACCAGGTGCCTCTGATTGTCATTCAAGGACCACCTGAATCAGATACAGGGATTAGCCACACAGGCTGCTGGGCCTTCCCAGGCCGTCTGAGAGGCTGGGCAGGACCTGGCTTCTGCTTGTTGTACAAGTCTTTGGGTGTTTTGTGTTTTTTGTCTGTTTTTTTTTGTTTTGTTTTTTATGGTACCAGGTATTGAACTCGGGTCCTTGCGCTTGCAAGGCAGGCCACCGAACCACTGAGCTTAATCCCCAGCCCTCTTGGGTGTTTTTGATACTCAGACCTGGCTGGGAACTTTGTTCTAGAAGAGACTCCTGCCTTCAGAGAGGAAGTCATTCTGAGCAGCCTGCCTTTGCCTGTGACCAAGCCATTTGAGTCTGCCTGGACGTTCCGAGGGTGCCCCTCCCATTAGCTTCAGGGATGTTCTGCTCAGGTGCTAGCGTTAGGCTGACCTGGCATCTTTTGCAGCAGGAGAGGGATGCAGGTTACTCCCAGGGCCCTCTAGAGATGAATTATGAAGATGGGCCAATTGGGGCAAGGCTCAGAGGGTGTCTAGTCTTAGTTTCCTGTTTGCCCTGGCAGCCTTGCCAACATCCCACTGACCCCTGAGACCCAGCGGGACCAGGAGCGGCGGATTCGGCGGGAGATCGCCAACAGCAACGAGAGGAGGCGTATGCAGAGCATCAACGCAGGCTTCCAGTCCCTCAAGACCCTTATTCCCCACACAGATGGAGAGAAGCTCAGCAAGGTGGGCAGGGGGTGGGAGCTTCCTGGAGGAGGCGGCAGGCTGTGGGGGGAGGAGGAAGAGAGTCTTGGAAATTGTGCCAGCCTGACCCTGGGTCCCTCCTGCCCCCAGGCAGCCATTCTCCAGCAGACTGCAGAGTACATTTTCTCCCTGGAGCAGGAGAAGACCAGGCTCCTGCAGCAGAATACACAGCTCAAGCGCTTCATCCAGGTATCCTAGGAGGATCTCCTCTGTGCCCTGCCCTTCTCCCTGTCCCCAGCATGGCATGCCTGGACCCAACCAGTGACCAGGGACACAGATATGACTGCCAGTCCCATCTTATCTACTGAACAGCCTATTTTACACACTGGCCCTAGTTTCCCCGTTCATCAGATGGAACCAGGCAGCTGTCCTGGAAAGCCAGTCCTTTCTATTTCCTTTTCTGTCATTTGGCCACTTTGTTGGATCTGCAGAATGAGCTCCCCCGTCCAGGTCCGCCTCTGTTGGGTAGCTTTGTGGGGTGGAGACGGAGCCCCTGACCTCCGTGGTGGGAGTGGTACTTCACATACTCACCTATCCCTTATGGTCCCCAGGAGCTTAGTGGCTCATCTCCGAAGCGGCGGCGGGCGGAGGACAAAGACGAGGGCATTGGCTCGCCAGACATCTGGGAGGATGAGAAGGCTGAGGACCTGCGGCGGGAGATGATTGAGCTGCGACAGCAGCTGGACAAGGAGCGCTCTGTGCGCATGATGCTGGAGGAGCAGGTGAGGTGCCCGGTGGGCTGGGTGCAGGGTGCCATGGGCACGGGAAGGGGTTTCTGTTGTCTCTGCTTTTTTCTGCCTATGTGCTTTCCATTTAGCAGATATTTACAGGAGTGCCTGCTCTGTGCCAGGTTTAGGAGTGGGGACCTCGTTGTCCTTGTGGGTTACCACGTGCCTGGGGGTGAGGGAATTAGTCAAAGGCTCTCACAGGTACAGGTACAGGTATAAAAATGCAACCAAGGGCTTCAGGTACAGCCCAGTGGCAGAATGTGTGCTTAGCATGTAAGGCCTTGGGTTCAATTCCCAGCACACACACACACACACACACACACACACACACACACACACACTCACACATACCTAGAGCAACTGAGATAAAGGACAGGCAGCTGTGTGTCTGACCTGGTTCTCAATGGATACCCATGGCTTCTACGTGGAAACCAGTTAACCAGGCAAAGAAGAGAGTAAGGTGTTTTAGGTAGAGAGAAGAGCAGAGACAGAGACCTGGAGGTGGGAGGGGGGCTTAGGGGGCTCTGGTAAGGAATTTAGCCTACCCCTGGGTGTCACTCATGCTAGTGTCTTACGTTTTGGGCACATTGTGCTGTGTCCTGGGTTTGGAGGTTTTGGTGAGTGGCCTGCTATGGGGCTGGTGAAGCAGGTGTGCTCTGGCCCTGCCCCTGAGCACCAAGCTGCTCCACCCGCAGGTGCGGTCCCTGGAGGCCCACATGTACCCGGAAAAGCTCAAGGTGATCGCGCAGCAGGTGCAGCTGCAGCAGCAACAGGAACAGGTGCGGCTGCTGCACCAGGAGAAGCTGGAGCGGGAACAGCAGCACCTGCGGACCCAGGTGAGCAGGAGGCCTAGGCGGGGCAGGCTCAAGTTGCCCTGGGGCTCTTAGGCTGCAGAGGTGCCCAGATTGTCTTCAAGGCCAACCCGGGCCAACAGTTATTTCTTGTTGAGCTGTTGCTGGCTCCAGGTGTTTATGAGTTCATGGAATCCTCAAAGCAGTACTTTAAAACCTGAGCCATTAAACTCCTGTTTAACTGATGAGGAAATTGAGGCACAGAAAGGTCAGATAACATGCACAGGATCCCAAGTGACTAGAGACAGATTTGAATCCTGGCTGTCTAAATCCAGGGTGTGTGTTCTCCCTCCACTCCTTCCCTCTCTCCCCTTCTCTCTCTCCCTCTGTCCCCTTCTATCTTCTCCTTCCCTCCTCCTCTGCCTCCCGCATCCCCTTCCCATGCTGGGAATAAACCTGGGGCCTTGTACATGCCAGGCAAACCACTCTACCACTGACTGAGCTACATCTCCAGAAAGCTGGGAGAACAGGTGTGTGCACTACAGGGCCAGTATAACATCTATACCCTTTTTTTGTTGTTGTTTTGAGACAGGGTCTTGCTGTGTAATTCAGGCTGGGCTTGAACTCACAGTGAATCCTCATGCCTCAGCCTCCCAAGCGCTGGGATTACAGATTGTGCCACCACACCTGGCTCTCTTCTACACTCTTAACTATTACTATTATTTTGGGGAGGTTGAGACAGGGCCTTGCTTTGTAGTTCAGGCTGGCCCCAAACTCACTATGGAGCTGAGGTAGACCTCAAACTCAGGGCAATCTTTCTGCCTCAACCACCAGAATGCTGGGATTACTGGTGTGTGCCTCCACACCTGGTTTACACTCTCTCTCTTTTTTTTTTTTTTGGTGCCAGGGATCCAACTTGGGATCGTGAGGCAGGCGGTGGCACCACTGAGCTAAATCCCTGGCCCCTGGTTTACACTTTTTTTTTAGAAAATATATATAATTTATTAGATGGACTTAAAAATCAACACAATTTCAGGCACTTCTTGAATACAAACTATGGGAATTTTCTACCAAAGAATAGCACATCTAGCAGGCAATAACATGGAAATTTAAGCTTTAGTTTTTAGAACAGTATGCAAGGGCAGGCCATTTGTAAGAGAAAGTGCATAAGCAATCCAACAATATCCTGTTACATTTCTTCACATCCCCCCGACACCATTCTAAGGTTAAATGGAAGAACCCCGGTTTACACTCTTAACTAGCACTGTGTTAGATGTTGAACTGCTGCTTGGCACTGGAAGTTGAAGGGGCCGTAGGATTTGGGATGGTCAGAAGCCCTTCCATCAGCTGCCATTCCTTCATAGTACAGGGTCACGGGTGGGTGTGTGGTGGTAAACTGGCTCGCCCCTGCATTTGTTAGTTTTCCATCACTAACAAATATCTGAGACAATCTACTTTTTTTTTTTTGTAGCATTGGGAATTGAACCCAGAGCCTTTGTACTGAGCTGCATTCCTGGTCCTTTTTATTTTACTTTGAGGCATGGTCTCACTAAGTTACTACATTGCCCAGGTTGGACTCAAACATGCAAGCTTCTTGCCTCAGCCTCCCAGAGTGCTGGAATTACAGGTGTGCACTACCGCACCGTGCTGAGATAATCTGCTCACAAAGAGGAGAGTTATTTTGGCTCACAGTCTTGGAGGTTTTCATTTGGCCTTGTTACTGCTTTGGGCCTGTTGCAAGACAGCAGATCATGCATGACAAGAGCAGGTGACAGAGTGAAACAGCTCACCTCACAGCCAGGAAGCCAGAGAGAAAGGAAGAGGCCAGGGATTCTACTATCCATTCTGAGGGAACCCACCCCTAAAGACCTTCCACTCGGCCCACCTCTAAAAGATTCCATCACTCCCAATGGTACCATGCAGTGGGCCACCGTTATACATGTACCGCTGGGGAAACCTAAATCCAAACTATAGTAGCCCCTGTGACCAAGGGAGGTTGATGGGCTGGAAGGACCACGACTGAGAGACTGAGGGCTTCTGTCTTACAGCTCCTGCCCCCTCCAGCCCCGACCCACCACCCCACGGTGATTGTGCCGGCGCCGCCACCACCACCTCCCTCCCACCACATCAACGTTGTCACCATGGGTCCCTCTGTCATCAACTCTGTGTCTACATCCCGGCAAAATCTGGACACCATTGTGCAGGTACCTGGGCTCAGGGAGGGGCAGCTTATGGGGGTGACCTCGTGCAAACAGGCTCTTTGAATAGGGGATGGAAGGGGAGAAGATGGAGCTTGACTTGGAGGAGTGGTTGGATGCCCAGGGGTCTCTCCCTCCCTGTGTCTGGGGACGGAGCCTGGAGATGAACCATGTTCCTTCTTCAGTGGGGTTTGCTGGTGGGCTCCCTTGGACCCAGAGCCCCCTGATTAGAGTTCCTGTGGTCAGCTCTTTGTTTGGCCCAGAGCTTTCTCTCACCTCCATTTCCCATAACTAAGGATGAGAGAGGTGGCAGTGGCTGGGTGAGTGTATTTACACCTCCTATCAGTGTCTTGGGTAACATAAAAAGATTAATTGGGGGCTGGGGATCTAGCTCAGTGGTTCTGCTGCCTGTCTTGCAAGCATAAGGATCCAAGTTTAATCCCTGGTAGCCCCCGCAAAAAAGATTCATTGGTAAGCAATAAACCAAAACAAAAAAAAAACAAAAAACATCCAGAACTTTAGTTACACATAAACCCAGGAAGATGAGTAATACAATTAATAGCAAAAAACTTTAATACGTTAATAGGCAGATTTGAAAATATATAAATGTATGAGAGATGCTTGTCATTTCTTGGCAGCACTGGGACTATGATCTTCTTGGAAGCGGTTCTTTAATTTAGGAGTGACTTTTTTTTTTTTAAATGGTACTAGGGATTGAATCCAGGGCTGAGCTACATCCCTAGACCTTTTTTTTTTTTTTCTTGGTACTAGGGTTTGAACTTGGGTCCTTGAGCTTGTGAGGCAGGCGGTGGAACCACTAAGCTAAATCCCTGGCCCATAGACCTTTTTAAAGAAATGTATGCAACCACTCCTAGCTCAACAGATCGATTTTCTAATGTTTATTTCCCCTGGACTCTGGCAGCACCCTGGCTGCTTTGCCAGGCTTATTTTAGGACAATCCTGAGGTGTGCGTGTCTTGTGGGGAGTTAGTGGCCGGCTGAGGCCCTACTGTCTCCAGGCTGGCCAAGGGCCTCGGGCTGAGCCGCCTGGTCGCCTGTCTCTGTCTAGGCAATCCAGCACATTGAGGGCACCCAGGACAAGCAGGAGCTGGAGGAGGAACAGCGGCGAGCCGTCATCGTGAAGCCCGTGCGCAGCTGTCCCGAGGCCCACACTTCAGACACTGCCTCTGACTCGGAGGCCTCGGACAGTGACGCCATGGACCAGAGCCGGGAGGAGCCATTAGGGGATGAGGAGCTTCCCTGACCACCCCCCCAGCCCTCCTCTCCCTTCTGGGGGCTGGAGGGGGCCGGGGAAGTGACAGGGAGCAATGTGGGTGAACGAGTGAGAAATTTTTACAAAATTACTGTGTCATTTGGGTCTCTTTTATGACCTCTTTTTCAATACTGTAAATCGACCTTTGAACGGAGCCACCCAAGCCAGGGTCCTGAGGCGGGGGTGGCACATAGTGTGTGGGAGCATTGGGATCCCAGGGTTGTGCCTCCACCCTGGGCTCTGGGGGAGGCCTGCACTAGGGTGTCCGGCCTCTCTCCGCCAAGATACATTTTCTGTTTAAACGTGTTTTTAAGAACAGGGAAAATCAACCCCAAGGCATTTACCCCTCCCCAGAGCTGGTCCTATGCCTGTCAGTCCTCAACCCCCTCCCTCCTCCGTTTGGTTTTCTTCTTCTTTAAGCACTTACATGGGTTGGGGGTTAGGCTGGGTCAGGGCTTTCTGGGGACCGGGGGTCCACGCTTCTCGGTGGGGGTTTGCTGCTGCCCTTCCCCCTCCCCCCACTCAACGCCAGGACTCACCATTCTCCGCCCTCCTGTCCACCTCTCCCTCCAGGGCACCCCTCTTAAACCCCAGAAGTGTCTATGTCTGTTTTTCTCTTGTTTTGTTTGTTGTTGGTTTTAGTTTTCATTTATTTTTTTTTCTTTCTTTCTTTCTTTCTTTCTTTCTTTCTTTTTTTTTTTTTTTTTTTTTTTATTTTTTTTTTTTTTTTTTTTTTTTTTTTTTTTTTTTTTTTTTTTTTTTTTTTTTTTTTTTTACAATTTTGAGATCTTTGTGTCCAAGGAGAAGCTATTATATTTTGTTAAGAAAGTGGGGGGAAAAAAAAACCAAGAGGCCACGGTGCCTTTGTAAAGAAACAAAATAAAGTTTGTACTTTGTTTTTTAAAATTCTTTGTGTCTTTGGGAGTACATTGTCCTGAGGACTTGAACAAGGCCACCCAACCTATAGTGGGGTCAAATCCAGAGGCGACTGTGAGTGTGATGATTCTCTCAACCTTTGTTTTTTTGAGATAGGTTCTTGCCATGTACTCCAGGTTGGCCTTAAACTCCTAATTCTTCTATCTCAGCCGACAAATGCTGGGATTACAGATGTGTGTTGCCATGCCTAGATGGACTTTCCAATTTATGTGTGTGATTATGTTGACTGAGGGTCTCAGATTCCCAGGGATTATTCTGGGTGTTCTGCAAAGATGGAAAGTGGTGTTGCGGGCTGGGGTTGGCTTGAGACTCCTTTGGTGGGAGTCCGGGAGAGTGGACAACCAAGCCACAAGTTCTTAACTCCTGGACAGGAATACAGGTGTTCAAGAGTCCCTAGGTGCTACCACTTCCTGGGCTTGCGTTATATCCCTGAACTATAGAAAGGAAAGGAAACCACCTCTTCGTGGTGAAGTTTTATGTGCTCAAGCTGTGGCTTTGGTCTACCAGTAGTCATTTCCACTTCTGACAAGCCACTTACTTGAGCCTTTGAGATGGATGGTCCTTTTAGTTCCCTTTTTTTTGAGACAGGGTCTCGCTGTGTGGTTCAGGCTGGCCTTGATCTTACTATGTAACCTAGGCTGGTCTCAAACTCATGGTGATCCTCCTGCCTCAGCCTCCTGAGTGCTGGGATTACAGGCATGAGCCACCACACCTGGCAGTCCTTTTAGGTCCTTACCCCATCTGTGGCCAGAAATCATCTTACATTCGGGCCCAGGGAGCCTGCTTATGCTCAATTATGGCAGGTGCATGGGGACTAAGGCAGAGCAGAAGAGCCAAGTCCCATCTCATCCCACCATGCTTTTGGACATGAATTACTGAATAGAAAGGCTGGCAAGAGCCTGAGGTATTTTTCTTTTTAAAATTTTTCTTTTTTTTTCTTTTGAGACAGAGTCTTGCTCCATAGCCCATGCTGGCCTTGAAGTCACAGTGATCCTCCTCTCTCAGCCTCCAGAGTGCTGAGATTATAGGCATTCACCACCATGCCTGGCAAGAACCTGCAGTGTTTCTGGATTTTTTTTTCTTCCTTTTTTTTTAAACTAACGATTGACCCAGGGCCTTCAAACTGAGCTACATCTCCAGGCCTTTTTTTCTTTTGAGACAGGGTCTTGTTAGTCAAAAAGTGGCTGGGCCTGGGCTTGAACTTGAGTTCCTCCTGCTTCAGTCTCTCTGTGTTGGTATTGCAGGTGTGCACCACCATGCCTGGCTTTTTACACTTTATTTTTAAAATTCTACTCATTTATTTTTTGGTACTGGGATTCGAACTCTAGTCCTTGTGCTTGCCAGGCAGGCAGCGGCACCACTGAGCTAAATCCCTGGCCCTTTACACTTTAAAAGGTGGAATTTATAAAACAAAATTTGCTACTTTACAGTGGACAATTAAAACATTTTTTTTACAGTGGACAATTCTAATGTCACTTAGTATATTCACAATATTACACAGCCAAAACCGCATTCCATCACCTCCACATTCCAAAACCTCTCCAAAGTGAACTTACTTATTGAGCAGCCACTTCTCATGTCTCCTCCCAGACCCTGGCCACCAATCTTTTTTAAAAAATAGGTAACTACATTCAGTAAAATTTATTTTTCCTTTCATTACTGGCAGTTGAACTGAGGGCTTTCAGACTGGAGTATGTAATCAGCCCATTTATTTAGGTTTTCTTGTTTTATTTTCTGAGATAGGTTCTCACTTTGTAGTTCAGGAGGGCCTTGACCTCACTGAGTCCAGGTTTGAACTCATGGCACTCCTGCCTCGTCCTTCAACGTGTGAGGATTACAGGGATGTGCCACCACACCGATTTATTTTTCATTGTGAGACAGGATTTCTCTTGCTAAGATGCACAGGCTGAACTCGAACGTGGAATCCTCCTGCCTCAGCCTCTCAGAGTTTTGAGATTACAGGTGTGGGCCACGAGGCCTGGTTTAAAATTCACTCTTGTCCGGCATGGTGGCACACGCCTGTAATCCCAGCGCTCGGGAGGCTGGGGCAGGAGGATCACTGTGAGTTCGAGACCAGCCTGGGCTACACAGTGAGTTCTAGAGCAGTCTGAACTACATAGTGAGACCCTGTCTCAAAAAACAAAAACAAAAAAAAGTTCACTCTTGGTTTTGGGTTTTTTTAAGTTTGGTTTTTGGTACTGGGAATCAAACTCATGACCTTGCACTTGCAAGTGTAGGCGCTATGCCACTGAGCTAAATCCCCAGCTTGGTTTTTCGATTTTTTGATAATAAACAACATACGAATTAGTTCTCTCACCTTCACTGCCCACCCCCCGTACTTTGTGGTTAACCCAGCCAGTTGCAATCCCTGATCTATTCTCTGAAGCTGTGGTTTGCCTTTTCTCAAACGTCCCATAAAGGGAATCATATGATATATAGTGTAGCCTTATGAGTAAGGCTTCTTCCATGCAGCATTATGCTTTTTTTAAAATAAGAATTTATTTGACGGTGGAGAAAGGGGGAAGAGATGACAGCGAAAGTGAACTACTCCCTATATATATTTTTTTACCATATTTAGCAAATTTAGGTCAGCTAAACGCTCCTCTGAAGGGGGGGGCTTAGCTAGGCTTTGCCAGGGCGCCCCTTCCCCAGCCTTCCCCAGCCTTCCCCTCCTCCCGCGCGACGGCGACCGCTTTCGGCCTGGTGTGAGGCTGTAGGCCGAACCGGTTCCACGCAGCTACTGAGGTCAACAGAGGGCGCTGTGAGCCCAGGACACCCTGTCCCAGGGAGGCCAGAGGCTCCGCCTCCTTCCGATCCAGCGGGCTGCTCCGTTCTCACAAATCAGAGGCGGGGCTTGGGGGCGAGGCCAGGTAAACCCCTCTCTTTCCCAAGCAGTCACCGATTGAGCAGAAGCTCTCCCTCCGCTGCGGCGCTCTCCTCCGCCCACAGCGGAAGTCAGGGACGCAGCTGCCACCCCGCCCCTTTCAAACTCGCCGGCGCCCCTCCTGTGCGCATGTCCCTTGGCG